CAATCATATCGGATGAAATCAGCCAGCCTATCAACTAGTTCTGATTCGAAGGAGTCAACATCCTGATGAACATCACGGTATCCATACCGAACAATGCACCTATAGGACCGATGAGCTGCAGGACCAACACGACCCACCAGGTAGCGCTCAGCAGGCGGAACATAAGGGACAGGGACTGACTTTACACACACAAAAACTAGAACGCGGTGAAAAGCAGGAAGGTTGGTTACAAAGCGGGAGAAGTTAGCAGGAATGCCAGAGGTGAGATCTGTGAACACTAGGCCAATGCCAGGGACTCGAGCAATTCCCAAGCTTGGACCCAACGCTAGAAGCCAGTCCAAGGAAACCTTGTTGTGGAGGTCAAATTCGTACTTCTTGATGGTTGCATAGTGCCAAACAAACATGATAGTCATGAGGAACAGAGCAAGAAGAATGGGGAGCCAGGCACCCTCCCGGAACTTTGTGAGTGAAGCTGAGAAGTAGAGCAATTCAATAGAGCCAAAGAAGATTAGGAAGCAAAGGGCTAGAATAGGTGGCTTGCGCCAACAAAGGATGATCACCAAGGAAGTGAGGCATGTTGTCACTAGCATAACCGCCATCACTGCTAACCCTGAAATAAATAAATAAGAACTGCTGCTTAGTACTTCAAGAAACGTTAGTGATTTTAAATTTTAAATTAGCTGCCTTTGGATGTATTCATGATAAGAAATTTAGGCAGACTCTATGAATAAGAGATGAATTTTATAATATGAATCTAGAAAAATATATAAAGACCAACTTACCTGATGCATTCCCCAGATGTTTTGTATCTCTAAATCCAATGGTCACTGCAATGCAGAGGATCATGAGCATCCAATTGATCTCAGGGATATATATCTGGCCATGTACCTTGTCAGAAGTGTGAACAACCTTGACTCTTGGGAAACAACCTAGTGACTGGCTCTGGTTTATGATAGAAAATGTTCCACTGATGATTGCTTGGCTTCCCACAACAGAAGCAAGAATGGCCAGTACAAGCACTGGCCATCTCACACTTTCTGTACCCAAAAACGTAAAGTTGTCACATTTTCTAATGAAATCTTGTTGAATAATATTCCTGTCTTTAAAACAAGAATGACAAACACATACCTGGAACTGAGACATAAAAACTAATCCGGTGACTAGTGTGGTGATGTTGTGATAAGTAAGCAGCTTGACCCATATATGCCAATATAAGTGCTGGATAAACCAAAAAGGTAAAAGCAACCTGCACTAAGACAGTGGGGGTTGCAACTCCCTTATTAGCATCCAAATAAGTATTCACAATGCATAGAGAAGACACTGCGAGGAATGTAAGACTTACCTGAATAGCAGAATATGAGAAGTGGCCAAGATCAGCAAACATGGCCTCTGAGCCTGCATGCATAGCCACACATTACTCATCAATATGCATGACAACAGCAAAATATATACAGGAATATGATATATGCAAATATTTTCCAAAAGTACCTGTTATGCACAGCAATATTCCACCTAAAGACATCCATCCGCTTATCCTTGTCTTCCTCAGGAACTTGAACATGTAATATGGAGACAGAGCTTGATAGATATACCGATTCCACTGGAATATGTTATATAAGCCAAGTGCACTGATGCATAGAAGCCATGCCAACACCACTGGTGCAAAAAAGAATCCAACTCGATGGGTGCCATAGTGTTGAAGTGCAAAAAGACACAACAATATGAAACAAGTAATTGGAACCACCGCATCTGCAAATTGGGACAGAATATAGATGTAAATAGACACAATGGGCAAATCATTACTTACAATTAACTGATTGTTGGTACTTTATATCTTTCCAATTCACTTCCAAGGCAATAAACAGACATACTCGAAAAAATATTAATTTCATCCCAACGTCATCAATATAATCAAAATTAAGTCTATAGTTCATCAACCATAATGTTCAAAAAACAGAAACTTTATTAGTCCTCTACCACTATTGATTGGAAATGAAATTTCTGCTACGAAATAAAATAGGAGATGAGAAGCTTACACTGGTGATGCTCCTTGGACATGGATAATTCGAGGCCAGACACCGCAGAAAAGACTAAAATAGCATAGACATGAATTAGTCAAACCAGAATGAATTGCAACATTTTTTTATATTGTTTAAACTGGAAAGACGTCTACCTGAAATAGCTGGCGTGAGCACTCCATCACCAATTACCATACAAGTGCCAAGAAGAACAAGAATTAGCAAAGCAGTGTGTAAGGCCTTGCACTTCTCAAGTACAACTTTCAACCTTGAACTTTTTTCCTTTTCTGGTGGGTGCTCCAATATATAAGTAGAGAGTGCTTCATCAGCAAGCTGCCGGTTGGGTAGAAGGCTCACTTTTGCATGCCTGCATATCAAAGAATACAGTGCAAAAGTACCACCTGCAGAAAAACATGCAAGAAAGGTTTCAACCTAAAGACAGGACAATAAAAGCATTGTTCAGTTGTTCAGTACTTACCCTCTCCGTTATCATCAGCTCGAAGGACTATAAAGACATACTTGAACAGAGGGACTAAAGTAAGAGTCCAGAAAACAAAAGAAAGTACACCATAAATCTCTTCATTGGTCTCTGAATGTTGAATGTCTTCTGCAAATGCGCTCTTGTAGACATATAAAGGAGAAATGCTCAGGTCCCCATATACTACTCCAAGACTCTGGTAGGCTAAGAGCAGAATATTCTTCCAAGAGTCCTTCTGAAATGCAGTTCAACATACAACTTTCTGAGAATTCAGTTCATTTCTAGAACCAAATGAACTGCTAAAATTATAATCATTTACCAAGTTTTTCAAACATAATTTGCTTATAAAACCATACCCGGCCAGAAACTACAAATGGGTTATAATGCCCATAAGCAAAGATACACTTAAATTGAACTTATGAAGATAAAGCACTAACCTTTGAAGTGTCCCAACACTTCACTCTCTCAAGATCCATGGCGCTCAACTTTCAACTCTGAGACTAGATTTCATCAGTTGGACGCAGCTACCTGCAGATCTGCATTGAGACAGTACAAGTTTTATTGGTTAACTCGAATAGAATCTAAATTATATAAAATCCAGCTAAAGAGATTTCATGGGCTAATCACACTTCCAAGAACTCCCACCCAGCTCCCTCTACTTTCCCGGAAATAGAGGAGATAAAAGGGCATATTCACCCACTTTCCAATAAGCCCACATGACATCCATACCTGTATCACATTCCCACCAAATTTTTGAAAGCTGAGAACCTTTTTTTGGTGCAAATTTCCAGGATAAGAATGAAAACTCAAAGAGATGAAACCCAAAAGCCCACAACCTTTGGCAAAGAGGCAAA